AGTGCCGTTTGCTTGGAATATTCTTTTCCACCCTTTCACCTTAAGGTAGTGCCTGTCCTTGAAGGTAAGATGGGTTTCTTGCAGACAGCAAAGAGATGGATTTTGTTTTTGAATCCAGTCACTTAGCCTGTATCTTTTGACTGGAGAGTTCAGTCCATTGATATTTAAGGTTATTATTGAAAGATACATATTGGTTGCCATCATTTTGATTGCTGTTTTTGTTCTCTGTCTAATTTTGTGTTTCCTGGATTATAACTTTATTTATTTTCTTCCCCCCCCCCCCGGGGTATAGTTGTTTCTCTCTCTGCTCTCCATATTGCTTCAAGTATTCTTTGAAGGGCTGGCTTTCTGGGCATGTATTCTTTCAGGCTATTTGTGTCATGGAAGATTTTTCTTTCCCCCTCAACTCTAATAGACATTTTTGCTGGGTAGGGTATTCTGGACTGGCATCTATTGTCATGTAGAACTGGAAATACCTTGGTCCAGGTTCTTCTGGCTTTCATAGTTTGCATTGATAAGTCAGCTGTAATTCTGATGGGCTTTCCTTTGTCTGTGACTTGTTGTTTTTCTTTTGCTGCTTTCTGTATTGTCTCTTTGTTTTGTATATTTAGCATTTTTACTATGATATGTTGTGGGGAGTTTCTTTTCTGAGCCTGTCTATTTGGTGTTCTGTGTGCTTCCTGTATTTTTATGGGAATGTCATTCCTTAATTTTGGGAAATTCTCTTCTACAATCCTGTTTAAAGTCTGGTCAACACCATCAACCTTCTCCTTCCTCTGTTCCTGTGATCCGTAGATTTGGTCTTTTCACGGTGTCCCACATCTCTTGCATATTCCATTCCTGTGTTGTTGTTTTTTTAAATTTTCCATAATCTTTGCTTGAGCAGTCCAATTCTTCAACTTTATCTTCCAGTGTTGATATTCTGTTTTCCATTTCATTCATTCTAGAGGTGAGGTTTTCCCGTTGTTTCAAGTTGGCTTATTGAGTTTTCCACTTCCTTCTTCATTTCTGCCTGAGTTTTCCTCAATGTTTCTATCTCTTTTGTGAATTCATTCAGAAGTTTATCCCTATCTTCTTTGAGTTCTTTGATTTGTTTGTTCATGTGTTCTTTAAATACATTGAATTCCTCGATCAAGTTATGATTGTTCTTTTAAATTCAGTGTCCTGGGTTATCTCTAGGGGTTCTCCTTGTAGAACTCTGCTACAGGACTGGTGGAGTTTGATGGGAACATAGTGTTTTGGCTTTCCATTTTATTATTCTTTCATTGTGATATTGGCATGTGAATTTCTTTTGTTGTTTAAGATTCTGATATGAGAATTAAGTTGAACTATGCTTCTGTTTGTATTACCTGGGTGCCTATATTTTTTCTTTATTGGTTATATAAAGCTGGTTGGTACAGGGTTCATGTTTTCTCAGGTTTTATTTGGAGGGAACTGATGGCTTCAGATCAGCTATTCAGGAATACCCACAGAAGCCCAATTCAGGTTCCAGTCAGGTACACTCAGGCTTCCTTTACCATGTGGAGGCGTGATCTGGGTGCTCTCAGGCAGTCCACCCTCTCAGATTTTCTGCTAGGATCTCAGCCTTAGCCTACCAAAGCCAGGTCTGCCCTGGGGCCTTGGGAGGGGCCTCAGGAAATCCCAGGTAGGGGGATGAGTATGGTGCAATTAGGGGAAGCTCACCACCTCATGGAAGCAGGATCCAGGGGCTCTCAGGCAGTAGTCCCCTGAGTTCTCAGCCCCTCTGTCAGAGAGAGGCCAGGGGGAGGCCAGAACTGGGCACTCTCTGGCGGTCTCCTGAGATCAAAGCCACTGCTATACACATCAGCCTTGGGTACCTCAACACATCAATATCAGAAGTCAAACTTCTTTGGTCGTGCTACGGATCAAGCCTAGGTTGTTAGATATGCTAGGCAAACTCTCTACCACCCAGCTACTTGCCACCTCAAAGGGGGTTTCCTATTTTAGTAACTTATTGTTTATTATTTATTTATTTATTTTATTTGTGTGTGGGGGGGTGTTTTGCCTGTATGTCTATAAATGTGTCCATGTTGTGCCATGCCTGTGAAGGCCAGAAGTAGGTGTCGGATCCCCTCGAACTGGAGTTACAGACAGTTGTTAGCTCCATGTGGGTGCTGAGAACTGAACCTGGGTCCTCTGCAAGAGCAGCCAGTGCTCTTGACTGCTGAGCCTTTTCTCCAGCCCAGACGTGGTTTTTAAATAGGAAAGTTTAGGTGCTGTGCATGTTACTCAGGGTTCCATGCCCAGGACCGAATAAACAAAACAAACCACCTCTCACTTTTTGTGCCCTTGCTGCATAATGAAAACCTGGCATGATTAGACTGGGAGAAGGAAGCTGCTTCCTACCTTAATGCTTTTTCTTTGCTGGCAGCTCTGCTAACAACAGTGTTGCGTCCCGATGTGGGCTCTGATTTATCTTCTGTGGGAGATCCAAATCCAGCACTGAAATGAAAATTATTTTCTTTTTTGTCATTTGAAAACGGATACAACCAATTCCACAGCAACAGGAGACAATAAGGAGGCATTTGCCATCTAAAGGCCTTTTCTCTGGGTCATGCTCTGACTGCATCACCTTTGGGCAGTAGGGAGCCAGGAGTTATACTATCCACAGCTTTGTGCTATATATCTCACAACAGTGCCATGACAACAACTAGACTTTTCCACAGAGATCTTTGGCATAGCAGTTTAAAAAGCAATTACACGCCAGGTATGATTGGGTATGATGGCACATGCCTTTAATCCCAGCACTTGGGAAGCAGAAGCCAGGTCAGCCTGGTCTATATAGTGAGTTCCAGGCCAGTTAGGATATATAGTGAGATACTATCTCAACAAAACAGTAACACTTTTAATCCCAGCACTCAGGAGGCAGAGGCAGGTGGAGATTGAGGCCAGCCTGAGTTCCAGGCCAGCTGAGGCTAAAGGGAGACCCTGTCTCAAAAAGACCAGCCTCCTCCAGACCAAAACAAAAACAAAAACACAATAACAAAAACAAAAAAAGCAATAATGCAATTATATTGCCATGCAAAGAAAAAGACCCAAGTTGCCAAAACTCTAAACATAACAACAACAGTACAATATAACAATGCCCAGCTTCCTCCTCAGTGGGGCTGACTGTAGAGGAAACATTTTCTTACTTGGTCTTTTCTTTACTTGCTCTTCTCAAGGAAGATGAAGAAGAAATACTTTGTCTGTAACTGACATCTGATGATTTATCTTCCATAGATGGAGGTGGAGAACTAAAATTGTGAACATTTGAAGTTAAGTACAAATTAAAAGTGTCAAGTGTCTGGCTTTGTCCTGTAAAACAAATTTCTTCTGAAAGTCATATTTGTGGCAGGCTTTTAATGGTGATGTACTATTTTAAAAACATAAAGTGTAGGTTAACATGAATTTAAAAATGTCAAAGCTTTTCACAAGCCAGAACAGGAAATACTTGTATAAAATATATGAAAATAAAAACATTACATTAGTGCTATATAGATAAATAGATTCACAAGATTATTTTTTAAAATACTGAGCTGAGGCTGTGGATGTAGGTCAGTTGTCACAGTGTTTTCCTAGGACCCACAAAGCCCTGAGTTCCATCTTCAACATCACTAAATCATGCCTGCTGGTACATGCCTATAATCCTAACACTCAGGGGGTCGAGAAGGAGGATCAGGAGTTCAAGGTCACCCTCAGATATATAAGAAGTTAGAGGCCAATCTGTCTAATATATATATGTTTTGATTTTTAGGTCTATCATTTATTTATTTATTTATTATTTATTTATTTATTTAAACACTGTTAGGTGATAATTATGTGCTAGCACACAGTTTTGGAGTCTTGTATTTTCCACACTGCTTTCTTCTGTTCTCCAAATCCACAGAAAATTGTTAACATGGAGTCAAAGGGACATATGGGTTGTTCTATGTCAAGCTGAGTTTATGGAGTAGTGATTATTTTTATGATGGTATTAGAAACGGGTGGAAAAAGATACGAGTTCATATACTGACAAACAAAGAATCCATCCTCTCTCTACACTGCCCCTCCCCACAAGGACTCACATATCAGATTTACTGTTGATTAGGAGGATAGCACGTAGATCGTTCAGTTCTTGCAAGCAGAGCTCCTTCAGTGGCAGAAGTTTGGTGCCAGGGTTTATCTGTAAGGTAAGGTGAGGGCTGAACTATGTCCTCTGCATGGGCTATAGAGTTTAAAGTTCAGTTTTGATAAACATTCTTGACAGTTTAAAGAGTCCAGTTCATTCATGTGTGCATACGCACACAGGCCTGTGCTACAGATGATGATAAAGAGATGATAGATATATGATAGACAGATGATCGATAAATGATCTATAGATAGATAGATAGATAGATAGATAGATAGATAGATAGATAGATGATAGAGAGATGATAGATAGATGATAGATAGATGATAGATAGATGATAGATGATAGACAGACAGACAGATAGATACCTCTCTATATAATTAGAGCCAGGAGCCTGAAGCTTGCAAGCATGCTCTCCTTTGGGCACCATGCATCCTCCAGCTGCCCACAGCCTTTACTGTTGTGCCTTCAGCTATCCCATACCACAGCTGTTATCGTGGTCCCTGGAAGCACTTGGGTCCCAAATCTACCCATACACCTCTCCGGGGAACCTTTTTTTAAATGTAATTTTTTAACTCTGGGAGAATGTTTGTAAATGTAACTATGTACTGAAACCAATTCTTCAAAGTGTTGCATCTCTAGGGAGACGCTAAAGGAAGCCCCAGTTTGGTGATTTTGTCAGCCTGGGAGAAGATTAGACTAGATCAACTTCGAAGTCTCTTTTTGATCAAGTGCCAGATGAGTTCTCATCTGTGATGGCTAATTGTGTGTGCTGGGTAGTATCAGTTGTCAATGTGGCACACTTGTGAAGAGTGAACTTCAACTGAAGAATTTCCTTCATCAGACTGGCCTGTGGACATGTCTGTGGGGTGCTTTTTGGTTGCTAACTAATGTGGAAAGGCCCAGGCACTGTAGATGGTACTATCTTTAGGCAGGTGGGTGGGATTGGGTAGGGGTGCTGTGTAAGAAAGGAAACTGAGGGTCTGGAGAGATGGCTCCGTGGTTAAGAACACTGGTTCTTGATGAAGACCTGGGTTCGAATCCCAACACCCACATGGCAGCTAACAAATGTCCATAACTCCAGTTCCAGGGGATCTGACAGCCTCTTCTGTCCTCCGCGGGCACTGCATGACAAGGGTGCACTTACCTACATGCAGGCAAAACACACATACACATAAAAATAATAAATAAAATATTTAAAAAAAAAAGAAAGAAAACCGAACACGAGCCTGAGGGTAAGCCCATAGGCTGCATTCCTCCATGGTCCCTACTTTGGGTTCCTCCCTGACTAGATGGACTGTGACCCGGATGTGTGAGATGAAATAAACCCTTTCCTCTCCAAGTTGCTTTTGGTGGGGATGTTTATCATGGCAACAGAAAGCAAACTAGAACATGAGCTTTTCAGAATAATGCCAAGTGATGCTCTAAAAGGAAGGCAGATCCTGCTGTTCCTCTGCAGGGGATCCGGCCCCACTTCCCACCTCATGTTGGAGGCCCAGCTCTCGCAGTGTTCTTCAAGACTCATGAGCTGTGCTCCTTTACTCATCTGACTCTCTACTCCTCTCCCATTTGATCAGCTCAGCCATAGCTACACTGGCCCTTCTGCTGTTCCTTAGATTTGCCAAGCATATTTGCCCTTTATTTCTCTGTCCAAAAAGTTAGTCCCATGGCTAAGTTTCCCACTTTCTCCAAGTTTTGCCCAAATATTAACCTCAGTGAAAGCTACGGAACTGCCATTTTGACAATGGCAGCTACCAGCATCATTACCTCACAGTCCTGGAGGTGCTCTCATCCTGCCTCTGCTCCTCACGCCCTTCCACAACTCTATCATCTTTGCTGTTGTCTGTCTCCTCCCATTGGTACCATGGGTCCAAGACCTTTATTTCTTTTGCTCAGTGACAGAGATATGCAAAATAAAGCTTGCATAGTATTTACTGAATGAATGGATGAACCAGAATTTTCCTTTTAAAAAATTATTGTTATTATTTTTTTTATTTTGTGCATATGAGTGCATTGCCTACATGTATGTAAGTGCACCCATGTAGTGCAATACTCATAGAGGTCAGAAGAGAGCATCAGAGCCCCTGGAACTGAAGTTACTGACAGTTGTTAGTTGCCATGTGGGTGCTAGGAACTAAACCCAGGTACTCTTCAAGAGCAGCCAGTGCTTTTAACCCCTGAGCCATTTCTCCAGCCCACCAGAATTCTCCTGTATAAAGAATATTGTTTCATTGCCTGTTTAAAAAAAACTTGGGACCAAATACAATTTCGTTGCCATCTTAACTATGAACCTTTTTCTGGATGAGTGTTCTTTGTTGGTTTTACTGCTTTTTACCTCAATTCTCTTAAAACATCTTTGTATTGATGTGGTAGTTCTTTTAAAATTGTTATCACTGAATGGGATGAGCTTTCTTAGAGGAATTTCTCAGTGGTTTGTGTGTGTCATGGGGTGCTCCTGGGATTTGCATTAGCAAGCTGACTTAACTCCAAGTAAAACAGATTCTAGTTAAAACTGTACCAGAATGCAGAAGTTAAGGATAAAGTGCTGATTTTCATATTTTTTCTGTAAAAATATAAATTATGTTTGGTGCTTATAAAATGGCAATGTAATGGCATCATGATTAAAGGAAAAATTATACTAAAACACCAATAAGTGCTGCCACTTACCCGACCGCAATCATAGAATCCATCACTGATTATGTTGCTTGATGACAAATGGCCAGTCTGGCTGTATTTCAGGGGAAGATGGTTGTGGAGCAACTTGTTATAGGCTGCTTCGCTGAATTTATTTTTTCGACTTACCGATAGATTAATTTCTTCAAGGATATCTAGAGCCCTGTCAATAAAACAGAAATGTGTTGTTTGCTTTCTACAAGCCAACCAATGCTGAGGTCCTGTCTATACCCTTAGGCTTCTGAATGAGGAGTGAATGCACGGGGCAGCTTGGTGCCTCCCCTACCCCTTTAAACCAAGAGAAGCTGACAGAATTAGGAAGATAAATCGCTCCTTCCGAGAGCCATGCAGTAACTCATGTTGAAACAGCTGTGCAGGACACAGCCCTGGTAGGGTTAAATGCCTGTCAAAGGCCAGGGGTTAGAGGCTTGTGCTCTGCTCCTGCCTGTAGCGCTGTTGGGAGGTACTGGGAGTATGAGACGGGGCCGGTGGGAGGGAGTTAGGTCATTAGTGCGTGTCCTTGGAAGGCATAGTGGGAGCCCAGTTCCTTCTCTCTTTGCTTCTTAGCTGTCTCGCGGTGAGTGGGTTTGCTGGGCTATGTGTGCCCACTGGGATGTTCTGCAGGCAGGCGTGGACTGAAACACCTGAAACCAGGAGCCAGAATAAATCTGAACTGTGTCAATCTCCTTCTCTCAGAAATCCCACAGCAGCCGAAAGCTGACTGACAAACATCTTTTAGGAAAAATTCCTTGGTTTGTTTTTTTGTCATTTCTTTAATTTTTTTAAGTTGGCACACCAATAATGAGTTTCACGATAATGTTTTCAGACATATGTGCCATTGCATCCCCCCTCCCCCCATTGCTGGTTCTCCTCTTCCCGCTAGATAGTCTCCCCTTCCTGCTTTGCAGTCACATGTGTTGTAAAACTCTCCCCTTCCCCTTCACTCCCTTAAGGTCTGTTCTCCCCATCTCCAGGTCCCCTTTCCAATTTCCTGACATTACCAACACACGCAGATATAGTTTAAATCTAGCTTCCGCATATGAGAGAAAACATGCATGACTTTCTGAGTCCAGGCTATTATCTCACTTGATGATCTCCAGTTCGATCCATCTTCCTGCAGCTCTCATGACTTCATTTTTCTTTGTGGCTAAATAAAAATCCGGCTGTGTATGCTGCCACATTTTCTTTATCTGTTAGTGGACATCTACTCTGGTTCCACTTCTTAACTACTGTGTTTGTGGAAGTCTTTCTGCGGTATGTTGACTTGTAGTCCTTTGGGTGTGCATTCAGGAGTGGTATAGCTGAGCTGTACGGTAGTTCCACTTCTAGTTTGAGGACACCTGTATTGATGTCCGCATAGCTGCACAGTTTACAGTCTCGCCAGCACTGTCTGAGCAGTGTCTAAGGGCCCCTCTTTCCCTATATCCTCAGCAGCACCTCTTGTTTTGTTTTCTGGGTGTCAGCCATTCTGACTGGGGTAAGATAGAACCTTTCAGCAATTTTTATTTGCATTTCTCTGATGGCTAAACGGGTTGACCAGTGTTTCAAGTGTTTGTTATCCACTTATATTTCTTCTTTTGAGAAGTGTCTATTCAGTTCATTAGCCCATTCATTGACTGGAAGATTTTCCTAATATATAACTTCCGCAGTTCTTTATATATTCTAGATAATAAGCTCCTGTCTGATATGTAGTTGGCAAAGACATTTTTCCACTCTGAAGGCTGTCTCTCTACTCTGACAATTGCTTCCTACTATGGAGAAGCTTTTTAACTTTTGTGAATTTGGATAACTTCCTGTGCTATTGGAGTCCCTTTCAGAAAGCTCTTGCTTACGCCTGTATCATCAAGTGTTTTAGTTTTGTTTGCCTCTAGCAGCTTCAAAGCTTCAGGTCTTACATTAAGGTCTTTGACCCATTTCAAATCCATCTTTGTGCAGGGTAAGAGCTGCGACTATCTCCGTTCTTCTGCATGTGGGTATCCAGTGTGCCCCCCCCCCCCCCCCCGGCATCATTTCTCAAAGAAGCTACCGTTTCTTCAAAGTGCATTTTTGGTACCAGGAAGCTGTGACTAGGTTTGTATCTGGAACCTCTATTGTATTCCAACGGTCTGCATGTCTGTTTTCAAGTTTTCGTTTTAGAGGTCTTTCACCTGCCTGGTTAGGTTTATTCCTGTATATCTTTCTTTAATGATTGTAAATGGGACTTCCTTCTACCCCTGATTTATTTATTTTTTCTCAGCAAGTTTAGTTATTGGCATATAGAAAACCTACTGATTTTTGTATGTTCATTTTGGATCATGCTACTTTGCTTAAAGTGATGATCAGTTCTAAGTTTCCTCAGGAGTATTTAAGGTCTTTTCAGTGGGAGAATGGGTTTTCTACAAATGGTCATGATTTGACTTCTTCCTTTCCTATTGGGATCCCTTTCATTTCTTTCTGTTGTCTCGTTGGTCTAGCTTTGCACCGTATCAGAAGAGAGCAGTGACAGTGACCACCTTTGTCTTGTTCTAGATGATACACGAAATGGCTTCGGTTCTTCTCCACTTAGAAATGCTGGTCGCAGATTGCGGTTCGCACTCTTGACTCTTCAAGCACCTTCCTTCTACTAGTTTCTTTCCGGAGTTTATCATCAAGGGGGTTGAGGGCTGAAACTTTGTCAAGTACCCCTTCTATATCAATCAGGTCATGTGATTGATGTCTGTATGTTGAACCTACTGCATCTCTATAATGAAACCAGCCCAAACAGGATATGATCTTCTTTCTGTGTTCTTGAAATCAGGCTAGAGGAATAGTTATATCTGTGCTTATCAGGGAGATTTTTTTTCTTTTATGGTTATATCCTAATCTAGGTTTGAATAGGGGTAATGCTGGCTTTGTAGGATGAGTTTGGTAGTGTCCTTCCCTTTCTACGTTATAGAGTGGTTTGAGGAACATTGCTGTTAGCTCTTCTTTGAAGATTTGGCAGAATTTGGCAGTGAATCTGTCTAGTCCTGGACTTGTCTATCATTATACATTTAATACAAAACTAGTAATAAGTCCCAACTTTGGTTAACAGAATTAGCTATACAAAGATAAATGCTTGAAAGTTAATAGGAAACGTCACACCTTATTTGCTGCTATGCTACATAGAGGTAACTAAACTCACCTGCTGTTTGTGAAGACAATGGATTGGGGAAGGATGTTAATTAAATGCAGAAATCTGGTCAAAACATGTGGGTAAGGGATAAATAAAGGTGATAGGAACAGCCCACCTAGTTTGTTTTAGCCTTGAAACTGAGAGATAAATAGGATTGTGTTTAGCAATAGTGGAGAAGAGTGAAAGAAAACCTTTGAAAAGGAAATATTGGAAGTGAATGTTTAAAGCTCAGAAAGGGTGCCCTCAGGTGGGCAGGAAAGGAAAGGACACCTGACTCCAGGTGGCCTCTCCAGAGCTAAGGCATAGGCTGTGGCCAGACAGGGTAAGCTAAGCTAAGCTACACAGCAGTGTAGACTCTGATTTATGTCCTTTGTTCCTGAAGGGTGTGTTTCTCTGTTTTCTGCCCTCCTTCTGAGCCAGAAACTCAAGACACATCCACTTACCCGAGCCTGCATAACTCAACGGCCATCAGCTCATCGTTGGCACAGACCATCACAGCCCAGCTGGCATGCCTTCGGACTTCATCATTCTTGGAGTGCAGGAGCTCAACCAGGGGCTCCAGACCACCACAGTTCCTTAACTACAAGCAGAAGCCAAGATTTTATACAAGTACAGAGAGAGGCATGGTAGTCCATACCTGTAATCTCAGTACTCAGAGGCTGAGGCAGCGGGGCTCTTGAGTTCAAAGGTAGCCTGCACTACAGCAGGCTGAAAGAAAATCCTAGGGCTGTCGATATGCCTCATGGGTAGACCACTTGCCTAACCTGCAGGGCTCTGGGTTCCATCCGCAGCAGGTGAGGGGTACAAAACCAATATTAATACATCAGAACAGTCATTATTTGACTATTCAAAGGTTTCAAACACATAAGGACATTTTGGAATGTGTCTATTAGGTTCATTAAATTTGGGTGGAAATCTGCAAATCCCAGGTTTCCATTAAAAGTAAAGAAGCCTGAGGGTAATCATCTGGATTTCACCAGGATTTTCCCTGGGCTGGGGCTTCAGAGGGCATCTGTCCCCTCACTGCAACATGAGGACTGCTCTGCACCTGAACACTAAGGTTCATTTAGACTCAAAATAGACACATGAGTGGTCTCCTAAAGACGTCCTTATCCCTGGAAAAGACTTTATACATGGGATCAAATTAAAGATGTTGAGACGGACCCAGCAGGCCCAGTGTTATTACAAAGATTCCCACAAAAAGAAGTGCCCGAAACAGGAGGAAGTGGTGAGAACCATGGTGGAGCGATCATCTTTGAGGATGGAAGAAGGGGCCAGAAGTCAATGAACACAGGTGTCTCTAAGACCTTGAATGTCCAAGGGAACAACCCCCCTGCCCTCCCCCACCAAAAAAAATCAGAAAGAACACAGGCCTCTTGACACTTTGATTTTATCTCCTTATTTTGGGGTCTCTGACCTTGTATTCTGTAAGATAATAGATTTTTCTGGCTTTAAGCTACTAAACACTGGTAACTTGTTTATAGCAGCAATAAGAAACTCACACAATCCCCCAGGCTACAGAAGCTCACTGTTTCCTTAAGCAGGCAGGCACCACCCACAGTACACCAGGCCCCCAGGTCAGCAGCCAAGGTGAAAGCAATGCTCAAGCAGTTCTCTAAAAAGGGGCTCAGGGGTTTTTCTGTTGTTGTTGATACTTTTAGAGTGTATAGCTGTTTTTTCAAGGGATTGAGAAGAAAATTAAAAATTGGATGAACTTATATTAATATCATTAAATAATTACTAGAGTATAAAATTCTTGTCTTGCATCTGAGATGCTGTAGTATGGTCTCTAAGTCTAGAGACTATACGGAATGTTCTGCCAAGTCACATCACAGTGTTCAAAGTGGACCACCAGCCCCCATGGGTGGTGGTCCACTTTAAGCATTCTTGAGTCAAATTCAGGGACTCTGGCACACCCATACATCAGCATATATAACTCACTAGTTCATTTGAAGCATGGCTTAGGAAGCCAAATTACTGGCCATATTTATTTCTGGTTATAAAACAAGATAGTAATCTAATGCCATGTGTTCTCCTGGCAGAAATCTAACTGATTAATTCCTTCATTCATTCATTTTCTCATCCATTTAGCAGCTGGTCATTAAGCAGACATTATGATTCAGGCCTGGAGGTGCACACCTGTAATGGCAGTACTAAATGGTGAAGGGAGAGGATGGCAAGCTGCAACCCAGAGGCCAGCCTGGGTTACACAGCAAGACCCCATATTAAATAAATAAATAAATAAATAAATAAATAAATATTATGTACCAGGTATATACATTAATAACATGGATACAGGGCAGAAAATTCCAGTTCCTTTCCCAAAGGAGTTTATCATTTTCCCTTCAAGAACCATAGAATGTGAAAAAAAAAGACACAAGGTAAGGTGGGTGTGCAACAGAGCACAGAGGAGGGTACAGCGCTGGGGGACGGAGGAAAGGCCTGGGGGCGGGGGTAATAGCTGGACATACAGACAGGGCGGTATTTATTTCTAGGAAAAGATCCTGCTTGGGCTGGGTGACTTGGCAGAGGCAGACCATTCAGGGCCTTTACATAAGATGCTAAGTAGTTTAACTGGTGCTGTGCAGCACTAGGGAGACACTGGAGCCTCCCAACGGTGTGACAGTGTTCATGAAGGATCAGTATGGGGAGAGGAGGCAGGAAAGAGCCTACTGCACTGTCCTGGGTGCTAGAAGATTCCTCCGCAGGCCATGCCGCTGTGATCACCACACAGTTTCTTATCATCATTGGTAAATAAATACCCAGGGCCTCGCTAGATGCCTGAGTGGGACAGGAAGTAGAATAAACATGGAGGAGGCAGGACGCAGTGGGAAAGATTGGGTAGGTGTCTGAGCAGATTGTACAACGCCAAGCTTGGGCTGTGGTCTCAGGAGGGTGTGTTCAAGCGAGTCTGAACTGGCCCTTGTGGGCTCCCACTGGGCTTCGCAGGCTCACCTCGGTTCGGGCCTCCACGTCGCAGACGGTGGCAGCCACAGCGAGCGCGGCTGCGCTCTGGACCACGGTGTCAGTGGACCGCAGCGGGCTGACGAGCGCGTGCATCACGTCGTGGCTCTGGATGGCCGTGCGGAGCGGCTCCTGCATGGCCATGTTGGTCAGCACTGTGGCTGCGTTGGCGATGGCTCGGTCTCGCTTACTGGACAGGACGTTTATCAACGGGTCGATGGCATCCGCTTGGGCAGCCGCCCTGAGCACAGCAGAGAAAGGAAGGAATGTGATTCTCTCAGGTGAGCCACTGAGTTCATACAAATAAGCAGTGAAGCATGGTTTGAGGAACAGATCACTTTGTCGTGCAATGGATTGGAGTGATAGCAACTTAAGTGCAGTCTGAGAAAATTTTCAGATGTGAATGAATTCAAATAATCCTTTGGGCTATAGAAAACTCTATGACCACTACTTTTTAGAACTCTTAGAAACGCTGGTTTTTGTTTTCCCAGGTGTGGTTAGTTTTAAGTGCCCATTTGACACAATGCAGAATCACTTGGGAAGCATCTCATTGAAAGATTGTCTAGATTAGGTTGGCCTGTGGACTTGTCTGTGGGGATTATCTTGACTGTGTTGAGGTGTGAAGACCCACCCACTCTGGGTGGTGGCATTCCCTGGGCAGGGGGCATCCTGAACTGTGTGTAAGAGTGAAGAAAGCCAGCCCAGCACCAGCACACATGCGCATGCATGAATCCACTGCTTTCTACTCCTGACTGTGGATGGTAGGACAGGGTCCCACAATGGTGGGCTGTGACCTAGAACTACAGCCAGACAAACCCTCTCTCTCCCTTAGGTTGCCTTTGTTAGGAATTTTTATCACAGCAACTGGAAAGAAACTATGTCGCCCAGTCATAATTAAAAGACCAGGAAATTCGACTGGAAGAGTCTACTAACTGTAGACCAGAATTCCCAACCATTTGGAAATCAAAGCCTTGCCTTATAGCTCTCTCTGAATTGAAGCTTTCCCTCCTCAAGTGAAGGAGACTGGTTAGATTCAAGGAAGCTAAACAAAACACCGTACAAGGCTCTGGAAGCTCAGAAACTTGCCAGACTCACCAGGCCCCACCCCACCATTATAAAAGCATTAGACAGTTGCTGGGGAGAGAGGAGATTCAGCACATTCTTTTTCATTTAGTATTATATCATCAAAGCAAGAAAAAAATGAAGCTATCTGATTTAACTCCAATACCCAACACATTTACTTTGGTTCTGTAACTTAAATCTGTTTACTATGGAGGACCAATGACCTCAAAAGTGAAAGTTTGGACGGTTGTCATGTCCATCTCAGAGCAGATAACAAATGAAATCTGGGAAAAAGACTGGTGGCTCTGAGTGAGAGTAAGCTGTGATGGTGGTCCAAATGGGCCCAGAAGGAAAGCAAACCAGAGAGTCTGTCAGGGACATACTGGGAAGAGAAGGAAACCCTAGGTAATGATGGGCTGGCAGATTTGACCCTGCAGGGTTGCTCACACCCTGCTTATTACACCAATCTTCCCAGTGGACCTGCTGGCTCCCAGGTGAAGGTCCTAATCTGTTCTTATGCTTCCTTCCGTCCGTAGGGCACAGTTAACCATTCCCGCCCATCCTATTTCTCTAGGAAGATGTACCCAAAATTTAGTTTTATAAACATGTTAGAAGACCCTACATCTTAGCATGGTAGTTGACAGCTAGCGTTTAAGTTCCTTTCCTTGGGGATAAAATACTCTTAAGAGAATTTCACTTTTAATTGTCTCTCCTAATATTGACTAACATGGTAGCTATTTGGTTTTATGAATCGGGACAAAATGACACTTGATCTTAGCCAAAAGGCTGAGAAACAACAAATAGGGAAATTTAGAGTGTCTGACCTATTGGTTTGTCAGAAGCCTTTCATATTTTGTCTGTGTAATTTTACAGTTCAAACACTGCATTTTTAAAAAACTGCCACTGGCATCTTTTGTGTGTGTGTGTGTGTGTGTGTGTGTGTGTGTGTATACACATGCCACTTACACACATGTGAAGGTCAGAGGACAGCTTCTGAAAGTAAATTCAGTTTTTCCACCACATGTGTCCTCAAAAGGTTAAGATCTCCTTGTGTCTGTGTCTGTGTCTGTGTATACACCAGAGATAGAACCAGGGTCTTGTGGCTGCTTGCTTTACCACCCAGCTCTACACCAGCCCCGGGGAGTTCAAGTTCTACATATTTTCCTCACTGACACATATTGAAATCCTTTCAAAACCACTCTTCCTTTGAGTAATTTTTCAGGCACTTAGTGCAACCCAGCTTCTTTAAAATTGCATTAATTTTGCTTTATATCTCTAATCATCACAGGCAGGCCTTGACCAAAATGCATGGCTCCTTTGTTAAGTAGCGGGGACTTTTATTTTTGGAAAATTAAAGGCACACACAGATATGCCCCTCATTTTTTTCAGTTCCTCAGGAAAATTAAGAAACTAAGAGCTATTAGGGTCAGGACATGGATTTCCACCAGGTTAGTTCTGGGCCTTTCCACTCAGGCTTGGCTTTCTGTATTGTGAAGATGTGCCTTGCCTCACCCCCCATCCCCCCGCCCCAAATCACTGCCTCTTACTCTTTTCTTTGTTCTTTATGAAGACGATAAAAGAAGTACATGAAAATGTAGCCACTTAAAAAGCCAAAGACGCCAGGCGTGGTGGTGCATGCCTTTAATCCCAGCAGAGGCAGTCGGATCTTTGTGAGTTCAAAACCAGCCTGGTCTACATAGTGAGTTCCAGGACAGCTGGGGCTACAAGGAAACCCTTAAAAAAAAAAAAAAAAAAAAAAAAAAAAAAAAGCCAAAGACTGCAGTGCTCAGTGGAAGATCGCTTTTATGGCCCTGAACATAAGAGACAGCCCACAGACAAATCAAGTGTTTAGCCCTGGGAAGATCCATGAGCATCGGCCCTTCACCTCTGTCTCTAGTTTGTGCTCTGCCTTAACCTAGAAACAATAGCTAAAATGAGCTTGTGGTAGAAAATCAAACTCTTTTTACCTTAAAAAGAACTAATTTCAATGATACAAACAGAATACAGAATTTTTAAAATTGCATTAACTTTGCTTTTTTCAAACCCAAGACCTTCTGTTTCATTTGTGCCTGTCTCTAACGTGGACACCCACAAGCTGAAGCCTGTCATATTTTAAAAACATGTTTCAGTTTCTGTAACAGTACAGCATCATCCAAGTGAACGAGACAGAAGTCAAACTGCTGTGTTAGAAAATCCAGAATTACAGGGCCATATGTCATGACAATAATTTGAAAATATTTTCTGATATTTACTATCATTAGTTTCCATTTAGTTGGAGTTTACTCAAGTAAGAGTTTAAAGTGTAAATTTAAAAAACAAAGTGAAAAACAAATATAGGAACATGTGAAAATGTGTTTCCACGAGTGATGTTATCTAAACAAAGGTGAGGTCTAACCTATCAAGGAATCTGGTCTAACCAGGTTTTGACTGTAATAATCGCCTCTTCCATTATTTCCCGACTGTCTCTCCTTTTTCCACCCTGCAACCAAATCCAACCCGGCATCCTCTCATGTGGATTCACATCAATGTGCAGGGTTCGCAGATACAGATGGGCCTTAACTTATGATTTAAGATTTTTCGGTCTTGCAGTGGCTCAAAAATGATACACGTTTATGCTTGTTAGTTTCTATTAACTTGACACAATCTAGAGATAACTGAGAAGAGGGAATCTCAGTTGAGGATTTTCTTCCATTGAATTGGCCTGTGTGTCTATCTATGAGACATTTTCTTAATTGCTAATTGATACAGCAGGGCCTGGCTCACTGTGGATGGTGCCATCCCTGGACAGGTGGGCCCGGGCTGAATAAGAAAGGTAGCTGGGCAAGCCAAGGGAAGCAAGCCAGAGAGGAGTCTTCCTCCATGGTCTCTGCTTCAGCTCCTGCCTCTGGGTCTTGACCTGGCTTCCCTCAGTGATGGACAGTGATGTGGAAAGGTAAAGCCAAATAAACCCTTTCTTCCCCAAGTTGATTCTGGTCAGTGTTTTCTCACAGCAACAGAAAGCAAACTAAAACAACATTCAATAGGAACCATATTGCAGGCTTTGAATTTGGATCTGTTACCAGACTAGTTTAATCATATGTCAGTATATGCTATACTTCTCTCTTCTGCCCCCTCCCTCCTTCTCCTCCTCCCTTCCTCCCCCTCCCCTCTCCGTCTCCTCTCATGCCCTGAGCTACAACTCCCAGTTAGCCAGGAGAATATGCAGAATGAACAGCTGGTGCCCTACCAGTGTGCCACGGTATGCTAGGCTGTGTTGTTGAGTAGGTTAGGTGAATGAACTGCATTTGGACTTGATTTCAGTTTACGATGGGGTTTGGGAGGAATGTACCTCATCATCAAGGGGGGCGGTATTAGGAAGTTCTAATAGGTCTTACTTGGATCCTTACTCAATCTTCTAGTTAATGCAGTCTTCTAAGAATGTAATTGTGGCTCTCCTACTTCAGACTTTCACTGCTTCCTACCAGATTGCTCACACAGCTTCTGCAGTCTTGCAGACCTGGCCCTGCTTCCCTCCTCTGCCCGGTGCATTTGCACATTCTCCTCCTACCCCCTGGATAATTATTTTTTGTCTTTCATAGTTTGTCACAAATGACTTTTCCTTAAGAAAACATTTCTTTCTTATTTTATTTTTTACATGTATGAGTGTACTGAGTGCATGTATGTGAGTGCACCAGTGTTATGTGATGCGCACAGCAGTCAGAAGAGGACATCAGATCCCATGGAACTGGAGTGGTTGTTAGCCACCATGTGGGTGCTGGGAATCGAACCCAGGTCCTCTGCAAGAGCAGCCAGTGCTCTTAACCGCTGAGTCATCTCTCTAGCCCAGAAAGCATTTCTTAATGACAAAGAGGTCTTTTTTGTTTGTTTAACCTGAACTTGAGTCTTTATTTGTTAATTATATATATATTTTTTGTTGTCATTCAGGAAAGATATTTTGGCACAAACATTCACAATCAAAAATAACAAATTTTAAACATTTCAATCTAAAATATTAAAAATTTATTAATTAAAAACTTTCCCAGCACTTGTCATGGAATTCAGCGGCTTTTCACTGAAGTGCTCAAACACCACGATGGATAAAACAAACAACCCCACACCAAACGAAAACAAAACCAGAAAGGGCACTGAGAACTGCACTGAGCAGAAATTCAGTTACACGAGCAGTGCCAGCCGATGGTT